CCCCTGCCATGGGCAGGGACACCCTCCACTACACCAGGTTGCCCAAAGCCTCATCCAGCCTGGCCTTGAACACTTCCAGGGATGGGGCAGCCACAGCTTCTCTGGGCAATCTGTCCCAGTGCCTCACCACCCTCAGAGGGAAGAATTTCTTCCTTATATCTAATCTAAATCTCCCCTCTTTCAGTTTAAATCCATTGCCCCTTGTCCTGTCACTACACGCCCTTGTAGAAAGTCCCTGTAGGGGTCTTTCCTGTAGGCCCCCTTCAGGTACTGGAAGGCTGCAATAAGATCACCCCGGAGCCTTCTCTTCTCCAGGCTGAACAGCCCCAACTCTCCCAGCCTGTCTCCAGAGCAGAGGTGCTCCAGCCCTCGGATCATCTTCATGGCCTCCTCTGGACCCGCTCCAGCAGCTTTTGCTTTTGCAAAATAATGTTTTGCTTTTGCTACAGATACAATTCCTGTGGAGGACCAGGGAGCAGAAAAATTGAGAGAAACCAGTAGTTCCACAAGTCTGATTTCTGCCAACTTTTTGTTTTTTGCTCAGTTCTTTGGTTCCTGATTAGGCTGGGCCCTCTACAAGTCCTGCCACTCAAAGCATCGCTCTCCTAAAGCGCCGTCGTCAACACCTGAACCCGAAACATTCAGATGGGGGAAACGCTGAATTTTCTGTTGCTTCATTTCCACAAAGCCTGATGAAGCCTGAAGTGTTTTCAGAGCCTTTACCAAACATGGCTGAAATTGGCCAAAAAAAAAAAAAGTCCACAATCTCTTAGTAAGACCAATAGGACTAGTTGTATTAAGAGACCAGGCTGAAATTGTAATAGCCATCAGCAAAATCAGCACTACTCACTGCCAGGCAGCTGGGAAAGGACCTACTGGACCATGTTACATCTTACTTCCCGTACTCCAACACTCCAAAATGCAAGTTTTGCAAGAAAAGCCACACAACACGGTCTCTGAAAGTGAAGAGCAAGAACTGTTAAAGCTAGAAAAACTATATCACAGCCTACTGCAGTCTGTTGCTTGGATAAGCAAGTTTCTCTATACATATTTATAAGTATATTTATATAGCTCAACTGATGAATCTGTCACTCTTCAGTGTGAGGATGATTGAATAAAAATCCTACCAGTACTTAAAGGGGCCTACAGGAAAGCTGGAGAGGGACTTTTTCCAAGGGCGTGTAGTGACAGGACAAGGGGCAATGGCTTTAAACTGAAAGAGGGGAGATTTAGATTGGATATAAGGAAGAAATTTTTCCCTCTGAGGGTGGTGAGGCACTGGCACAGGTTGCCCAGAGAAGTTGTGGCTGCCCACAACATGGAAGTGTTCAAGGCCAGGTTGGATGAGACTTTGAGCAACCTGGTGTAGCAGAAGGTGTCCCTGCCCATGGCAGGGGGTTTGGAACTGGGTGATCTTTGAGGTCCCTTCCAACCCAAACCATTCTGTGATTCTAATTCCCTCTGAACAAAAAGAGCCAGTGCACACCAAGGAGAACAAGTATCAGACAGCACAGGAGCTCAGAGAAAGTCACCCTCAGTTCACACAGATATTTCTTCCTGCAAGAGACCACACACGATCCACTATGCACTACAACAATTGAAATCACCGTGATTTTGAAGTTGTTTGTTAAAGAGAAGAACTGAGCTTATTTTTAAAACGTCTTAAACATAAAAATAGAGGGAGGTAGATTCAGGTTGGATATTAGGAAAAAATTTTTTACCATGAGAGTTGTAGAACACTGGAACAGGTTGCCCAGAGAGGTGGTGGATGCTCCATCCCTGGAGACGTTCAAGGCCAGGTTGGACAAGGCCCTGAGCAACCTGATCTAGTTGGAGATATCCCTGTTCCTTGCAGGGGGGCTGGACTAGATGACCTTTGAAGGTCCCTTCCAGCCCTAACCATTCTATGATTCTATGATTCTATGATTGGCACATAGATCATGGAACGGTTTGGGTTGGAAGGGACCTCAAAGATCATCTAGTTCCAACCCCCCTGCCATGGGCAGGGACACCCTCCACTACACCAGGTTGTGACACATGAAACACCAAAGATGCATATATAAATGAAATGGCTGATCTGCCTTGTTTCTAATACACTCAGCCGTTTCAAAACTATAAATGAAGACAACCATTACAAAAAAGCCATTTATTAGATATATGTACATATATACATATACATGCAAAATGATTTTGTACACATTTACATAGGTTCAATTATTAATACAGTGCAAAATTGTCTAAAAAGGTACCAGCCCACCTTCTCCAAACTTAACAGGTCTTTGGGAGAAAGAAAAAAAAAAACAACAAAAAACAAAAACAACCAACCAAAAAAAAAACCACCACAGAAATTGATCAGCTTCATAAAGTGACTAAGCACCGCAAATCTTTAAATTAATTAAGTTTATTTTTCTGCCTATTTTCTTGTGCTGAGCTGCTGGGTGAGGAAAAGGGTTTCCAAAAGACTTATCTTGAAAACTGACAGAATTAAGGAGACGCAATTCAAATGACATTAAAGAGTTTAAAGTGGAACAAAAAGGGATGGATTTCTGTTTGGGGATTTGATTCGACACAGGCGTAATCCCACGTTATGAGTCAGATTTCATATACTCAAACTGCAAGTCACTCGTTTTTATTAAATTTTAAAGCATTGAGATCAATGGAAACTATTCTCTTCCTCTTGCTGTTTCAGCAGAGGAAAATTTTAACCGTATAAATACCACACAAACAGAGGAGCCATTCTAAATACTAACATTAAAAATAAAAAATAAAACCGGGTCGAACTACGCGTGCTCCGTCTCACCCCTGAATCCCAATCCAAACCTACGAAGTGCACAGGTTCTAATGCACATATTTTAATCCATGCAGATTCCTTACTACAGTTTACATGTGTCACAGGGGAAAAAAAAAAAAGGGGTTGCAAAGGGATGAAGACTAACAGCAAAGCAGAGCTTTGTTCATTTAGTAGGAAAGATCAAGTCGTGTCCTCCATCTAATCCACCAAGCAAAAAAAAATTTATAGGAAGGCAGAACTGAACCAACTGTTTTTGTCTGATTTTATGGAAACATTTTCCAGAAAAAAGAAAATATTAAACACAAGCTGAATTTAATCTTTCCCCACTCTAACGACGTTAATTACACAAGCTATCTCACCAGCTTGTTCTACCACTCTTACTGCAGAGCTGTTGCTAACATCACCTGGCAAAGGGATGTATTTGGTTTACGATAAACCAAACTCAGATGCTCGGGAAGCATTGGGAATGTTACAGTTTCTTCCCATCAGCTCGACGCACGGATGAGGAACAGGAAGCAGATAATGGCTCACTGGCCCCATGCCCCAACCACACCTATGGGGTCATCCAGGTGTCTTAAGGACAAGGGTTAATTCTGGCTTTGTTTCTCCACTTGCACTCTGGTGGAAAACTGGGGTAATGGCAGACAAACGAATTTTATTCACTCCCTTATGGCACACAGCTCCAGCTGTTTTCATAACTGGCTGGTGAAAATATTCCTCCATCATTCCTACTAGACTAGTCCTCACAGTTTAAAAGGATTTCATTATGTCAGTTACTGTATATGGGCTAATGTGGATGGAACAGAATTCCCTACATTTTACTACTGCAAAAAGCTCTGGCACCAAGTCTCTTGATGTCCTAGAAACTGTTCGGGTTGTAATGGGCCACCCATCGATGTCGTTGTTGCAGTCAGTTCCATCACAGGTTCCTCGTCTAGTAGCCCACTGATACTTGTGTTTGCCATCAGGAGATTTCAAGAAAACTCACTGAGATGCAAGCAAGTAATTTTGTTAAGCGTTTCTGCAAACTGTGGGAGAAAACTGCATCATGTTAATCTCTCTGCAACCACTAGAGGCAGAGACTACGCGAGAGGGAAATAAATCTTTGGTGAGAGATGTCTGGTGGAAGAAATGGGGCGACCAGAAAACAGTTTCCTAAGAAAAAAATAAAAGAAAATCTAGGACCATACTTCCACAATAACACACCTACAGTTCTCTACATCTTCTCAATTTGAATCTCTACAACCCTTCGCAGGCTTTTTTTTAAACAGTCTAAATTATTCATGTAGGTTCTAAAATGCCCATATGCACTTCAATCCATCACCTACAAGAATACCCAGCACAGCAGAGGTTAAGAACTTCAGCTCGGCAGGACTATGTTCAAAAGTGCACACTCATAAATTCATCGCAGAACTCAACACCATTATCTAAAGGTGTTTCATATAATAAAGAGAACCTGCTCTTGCTTTCCATTACTAGAAATGGCTTTCTACTCACCAGCTATACTTTTTTTTTTTTTTTTTTAAAAGGTGAAGGAGTCAGCAGCCTGTCATAAGTAGGCTTGGAAGATTTATTATCTGTACAGACCAAGAAAACATGGAATTACCTTTATACTAAGAGTGACCTTAACCAAAAAAAGGCCACTTGAGCTGAAAGATCACTTGTATTCACTTGGATTATTTTATGCTGCCCCAAGCATATGTGCAATTAACCAACGAGCACATACTCAACCACGATATGCTGTTTCGCCAGGAGATAATTACAGCCTTTATGGTTTTTAAAACAGACACAGCCTTTTTCCCTCCTACAACACCTAAAAAAATTACGCTGAAGCTCATCCTAACAATTTTTCCCACTGATATCGAACTCATCTAACTATGGCAAACAACTCCTTCACTTACATTTACCAAGAATCTTAATGCTTGACAAATTCTATGGACAAAAATGTTACCCACCACTTGATCTTCATTTTACTATACGATTTTAATATTTTTGGAAGCACTGGCTGGGCAAGACATTGACCTGCCAAACTGTTACAAAGCCAGTAAGACAAGTGGCAAAATGCTGTCTAGATGGTATTAGTCAAGGAGTAAGGGCCTGTTCATGATAAGGAGAACCTCCACCTGCTGATGACACCTGACAAGATCTGCCATGCACAATGACCACATGCCATGTTAAATACAGCAACATTCCTCCCTGTATGTTCCACGTGATTACAGCATCCCACTTTGTTTCAAGTTGCTTTGAAATATCCTCCTTGCAATGACCACTGTCACAAATCTTTAAAAATATTCCAAGCTATTTTGGGCCAGTTTAATACAAAAAAAAGTTTTAAAAAGAGAGTAGCAAACCCAAAGCCTTTTTCATACTCCACAGTCAGGCTGTTTCTCCATAAGTTGCCTTGCTAGTATCTGGTAAGAAGAAAGAGATGCCACTCCTATGTGAAAGGCTATTTGCCAGAGGTTCCGTAATCCGTACAGGTAAACGTTGCAGAAACAAACAGAGAAGAAGAGTACAAACGTCTTCACCTTCCTCGCTGAGCTGTAGAAGAGGTACAAGTAACACTACAAAAGGACCAGAGAGACAGCATTAGCATTAAATTACATACATGTAGACAAAAGACAGCTGGGAATGGCTGGCACATCCATGCCACTTAGATGTGCCTGCCATTGCAGTGATCACCAAGATGCTCAAAGCTTCCCTTCAACTCTGATGCTGAAAGATCCTCCAAGAACAGCCAGAGTGGTGGCCTCAAGCCAGACTCTACTGGGTACGCACAGATCCATCAGCACAACCGGTGTCCCACCTGCCTGCCTCTGCTTGGATTAAAAGGAGGCCAAAAGCTGAGCCAGCTTTCAAAAACCACTTATTTTTTTTTACAAGGCAAAGGCTCAGAAGTAGGGAAACAGCAAACCCAAGTCTGCTCCTGCTGTACTTGTTCTTGGGATAAGCAAAGGACTTCTTTTTACCAAGTCAAGTCTACAGGTTAAGTTGTTAACAGGTTTAGTTGAGGTTTTGAGCTCTTTTTCTTTTTAAATTCAAGAACAAGTGGAACCTATTTGCCAAGCATGTGTGAAGAGCAACAACCCTGACAGGCGAAAACTAAAAAACTCCAAGTGCTGGCAGGAGAGTTACTTTTTTAACTCAGGCAGTAACAGATCATGCTTTCTCACTCAAGGTCACAGCTTCCAACTGTGCTGATGACACGAGTAGAGATCAGCACGTAGAAAGCACTTCACATTTGAGCTCGATTTATGCACAAGCATTTTGTGAAGATGACTGCTACAGATCAAAAGGATGAGAGAACTCATCTTTATTTAGCTTCCCTAGCTTCAGGTACTGACTGGAAAAAAGCAGGACAGAGCCTTTCTTTGTGAGGAAAGACTTGCATCAAGTATTTAGATCCAAATTAATATCTCCATCTTAAAGCAGAGGTGTAACACACTGAATTGTATCTATTACAATACAATAAATTGCCTCTCTGCAAGTTTTAAACAGTGGTCCTCAAATTATTAGCCAAATGCAACAGTTCGAAGCAATTAACACACTGTAGGAATTACATTATTCCTTCTGTCAACTAGTAATTCAACTACTGCCAGTTCCTGTGATGACAGGATAAAAACTGAAGATTTTTACAGACAACATATTGCCCTCAAGTTAAAGGTTGTGCACCACTGTTTTTAGGCATTTAAGGAACCTTTCAAGAACCACCCATTTGGAATATATAATGTTTTCCTCATTCAAACTCTTCTGCATAAGGAGGTCAGAGAAAATACTCCATTAGGGAAAAAAAAATAAAATCTAAGGGAGTCAGGAACCACATTCATCTCAAGAATTTAAAGTAATATTTTTAATGTAAATTAGAACATTTTCAATAAGGTTGCTATCCTATATTTGCTTAGCCTTTCAAGGTAGTTATGCCACAAAAGCCCATCGCTAGGTCTGCCACTGTCAGAAAGACACTGTGTCTATCCCTTTGGGAAACAAATCACCTTTGGGCTAGCACTTATTTATCACACTTGGTCTCATTTGGCATGCCAAAACAAGGAAAGACTGAAAAAGCTTGCAACTGCAACTTGCCAAGGGTCAAATTTAACTGTCTTTGTGCCACTTCCCTGGAATACCTCAGTGGAATCACCCAGGTAGGATACTAAAAACCAAATGGTTCCTCTGCTTAGCTGAAATTTATTTTGTCTTGTATATGGTAATAGAAAAATAACCGTAAATAAAATGCTTTCTGATTTAACGTACCTGAAAAACACAGGCTAGAAAAGGTAGGAAAAAAGCTATCACATTTCCAATGCCTTCATGGTCCTCCTGTTTGGATAAAAAGAAGTGACAAACAACTACATCAGCTACAGTTTTTAGCAAGTACTGCTTGGTATTTTAGAACATTATATTTCATCCTAGTTTATGTTGAATGGCTATAAGAGTGTTAAACAGCAAGATCAATATCACTGAACAAGATACCAAGAACTGAGGCCTATGTGACAATTCCTGCTAAATAAAATTGTGCCACCATACAATCCGGACACTTTTTTTTAACCTTTTTAAAAGCCAACAGTTCTACATTTGTTAAAAAAAAATTTACACAAAAGCTTCTAGAACAGAATACAAGAACAGAAAAAAGAAAAAAAAAAATCCATCCAGCTTGGCAAGACTAAAACGTCTCTCCAAATTTTCATCTCCCTAGAAAAAAAAACAAAATGCAGTGTGCTGTGATATGCAAAACACATGAAGTCTAGCAGGTGAGCAATCAATTAGACATTCCCTGGAGAAACAAAACACTTCTGGTGGAAAGATGTATGCTCCACTAAGCAGAACAGCTCTCCTTAATCTGGTTCCCCAAATAACTCTCTCCCTTTGACTCATTCACAGGTTTCAATTCAACCAGGGTTACCTGAAATGAATACTCTGCCAGGTGAACTCCTCGAATGAGATTCAAAGCTCCACACATGATGTTCAGGACAAGCGACAGAATCCCCAGGGGAGTCACACGCTGCATTCTGTAAGTAGGGACTGAAAAAGAAAAAAGATACATCAGTGAAAGTTTGCACTATTGCTTTGAATCTTTTAACATAAAGTGACTCAAATTAGCTTATGCAGGTTCTAAACATTTTCAAACCCTTTCATGTTTGCTCCAGAGAAGACCAATTATGAATAGAAAAACCTTTTTTTTTTTTATTGCGTTACACAGTTCAGGTCTTCAGACATCCAGAAATCAGTAAGAGCTCTGGAGTATTTTTTAAACAGATTAAGCAATAGAATTTGTTCTTGAGGCATGAACGTCGTCTTTCATGGTGCACGTAGGTATTTTTCAAGTGATTTCAGCAGATGAGCATACTTGACACTCTTCACAGGTCAGCAGAAAGGCTTTGAGCACCCAAAGGTCTGGGAAAGAGCTTAGATTTCTGACACCAGTAAAAGCAGGACAGCGATTCATCTCTTCCTTAACTGGTAATCACGTGTTTCTTCCCACTGACAGTCTGAGAGTTCAGTCTCACATACAGCAGTTCAGTTTCACCTGTGCGGTGTCCACACAGCGTTTGGTGCCCTAAGCAAGCAGTTGCCAGAAAACAACTGTAAGAGCCATGGACTTTGATGCCCAGCTGCTAGAAGAGTTGTCGTAGGAGCTGCCAGGACGGTACCACCCCATCACAGCAGGGAAACGTCTGACACAGGACTGCAGCTCCTACCTCTGGGCCTGTCAGACTGACAAAACACGGCCAACACCGGGGCCCAGGAATGCAGCTGGATGCTGCAGTCTTTGGCCTTGGAGTCACATTTACAGTGCCCTGCAATTCCCTTTCTCTCAACCTGTCCACGTTTCACAGGTAGTGAATCACCCGTCTCCTTGCCACTGGAACAGGTTGCCCAGAGAAGCTGTGGCTGCCCCATCCCTGGAAGTGTTCAAGGCCAGGTTGGATGAGGCTTTGGGCAACCTGGTGTAGTGAAGGGTGTCCCTGCCTATCACAGGGGGGTTGGAACTAGATGATCTTTAAGGTCCCTTCTGACCCAAACCATTCCATGATTCTATGATTATCCTTCCTTTTTCACCTTCTCCACTACTACTAACACTCACACCCTCAAATACCATTTCTTTCAGGATGATCTAATTGATACATACCTAAGGAAGGTCAAAGCAATTATTATGAAGATGTATTTAACTTGGGAATCTGCCACTTCTAATGCAAAGTTTAGGATGTCCAAAAGCTTGCCTATTTTTTTCCCTAGCTATAATAGCCAGCTCAACAACAGACACCACACCCAGGTACTCACCTACCCATCATCCCTGCCCTTGCACCACCACAAGTGGAACACTGTCAGCGTAACAATAGGGGTAATTCGCACCTTGGGTACCAAATCCAGATCCTCTCCTGCAGCAACATCCGTAAGATGAGCCCCTAAGAAGTCTCACCAGCAATCAGGACCTTCTGCCTTCTTTCCAGCTCCTGACTACTGCAGATAAACTAAGCAACACAGCAGAGATCATCTCTGGCTGTGTTTCAGTGAAACACCAAAACAGCTTAAATATTGCACTACTGCACGGTTTAAGATAGGAAAACACATTTGTCTTCTTCAAGAGAGATTATTTTGATAGATGGATGTAAAAAAAGTTTGGTGCCAAATTAACACAGGGATATAAAGTATCTTCTGTAAGTGTCTACGTAATTAATTTGTCTGGCATGCATTCACACATCCATAATTTCATCTCCAAAGCGGCTGCAAAAGGAAGTGCCTTAATTCCATCTGATATATGTCAAATTATGTAGCATTACTGAATATTATCGTCATACACACGCTCACGGAAATAAATGGTGCAAGCGTGGCCAGCAGGTGAAGGGGGGTGATTCTGCCCCTCTGCTCTGCTC